CAAGTTAAATCCTCAGGTATTCCAGAGAATTCCAATCGTGAGCTAAAGGGAGACATTTGAAATAGTTAACTTTTCGGATATTCCTTAAAGGGTAAGAAGCCATGAAATTATCTTTTCTGCTTCCTTAAAAATAAACACAGGTTAAAGCACCACTGAATGTGGCATAGTTCGATCCCCGTTCCTGCCTTTCTTTGAAGATGGATCCCCGACAATGTTTGGCTGTGGTTCCCCTTTTGGGTTGGTGGGTCACTCGCAAGCCTTGGTGACACAGGAGAAGCAAACTTGTAAATGAATTGCTTTGGAATTTCTGTCTGACTTATGCGTTTACTTTCATTTATTTCCTTTTTACATTGAAAACATTACATTTCTGTTTCCTTATAGAGTAGTATATCAAGAGCCTGTGTATGGCAATAAATTGCTTCAGGTATGATGTCCCGACTGGTGGAAAAACACATCACTATGATTGTGGGTTTGCTGTGAAATCCTTACTAACAAGATAATTCTGGGGAAGGGAAATGTTCTCTAACATAAAAGGGAGAAAGACTTCACTGAATTTTCCAGTTTTAACATGAAATCTTGTAGAAGAGAGATGGCCATGTCTTCCGATACGTCCACTGATTGGGGTGGGACAGTTCCCTCCAAAGATCAGGGCTGCGTCCGTGACTGATCTTGGTCACAGCCGTGAGCTTTGTTAGACTCTTAAGTGTATCAAAATAGAAGTCTATCTTGGATATAAATTTCTTGACTTACAACGTATCTGGTCTCAATCAGTATAAATTCAGTGGAAAGAATTAAAGATTCTCCCTCATTGAACCAATTGTCTGGGTAATTTTGCATTAGGTTCCCAGAGTCAACTGGAATGGTTAAATCGAAGACATCTTACATGTCCAGCCTTGAAGGTCAGCCTAGCTGACATAACCTTCCCTGGGTTTATTGTACCTGGTCAGAAATGTATGTTGTTCCCGTTGCTATAGTTGTTGAACCTATTTCCTGCTGTTGAAGGCAACCCTCAAATTAAGGAGTCTGTAGGAAGAAAAACACAAGAGTCAGCACTTTCTTTTGAGAAATCTGAGAATCTCCGAATTTGGTCTGTAACCAACATTTATATGATAAATTGACGATAATAAGTGAGAATTATATTCCATGAGTTTCCCTATCACCTGAAACGCCCATGTTTATTCAGTCAACCAAGTTTCTTTCTGTCTTTATTTTACTATGAGAATTATTTGAGTCAACTAAAAACTGAATATGAAAAGGGGATACTTTGACTTAGGAGAGGGAAAAATAGTTAAAATTCCTGACATCAACTTTTACTGTCCCATTTCAAGCAAACTGGACCTCTATGCCATCTTTCAAAAATAGCTGAATGTATGACCCAGAGAAGTTAGAGTCACGGTTTATATTTAAATCTTTTTATTTTGTAAATGCTCTTATAAATGATTTTATAGTAAATAAAATGTGAGTTGTAGGTATACCAGTACACCCATTTTGCACAAAGTGAGACCAGACCCTGTGATATTCTCAGAGGGAGGGGGGTGAGGCCCCCTTGCTACTTACCTACTGAGCTGGAGGGAAGGACCTGAAACCAAGTACGGATTTCAATCCTGCCTGGGCCTGGGTCCCCGCAGCCCAGAGTTCAAGTCTCCTCCTAATGACGTGCCTATCTGGCTACTTGAACATCTTTTTCCAAAAACACCTTCCGCAGTGAGAACTTGATTTCTTGTCTCAACTCCAAGATGCCTTGGAGAACCACATTGTCCTTCAGCATGGTGGAAAGGAAAACTTTTCAACTTTTTTGACAAGTTTCAAAAGTTGTGAAACTTTTCAGAGTTTTCACAAACAAAGCCACCAGGTTGATGCTGTTCATTTAACTCGGCATCTCCCAAACCTATTTGGTCATGGAAACTTCCCTTTCCTTGTCACTGTTAATATCCCACAAGGGCAATTTTGAAAATGCTTTCTTGGAGCATCTTTGGAGTCCCTTAATGAGTAACGACCCCCAGGGGACCTCGGAGCTTTTGCTGACAAAGGGCTGTCCTCAGGCCTGGCCAGTGGTACCTTTAGTCTCTGGTAGTAGTGGCCAGGTGTTGGGGGGACCGTAATGGCCATTTAACATTTATTTGTATTTAAAGCCACATTTATATTTTGTTACCCAACATGAGGAAATCAGTTATGTTTACGAGTGGGGAGTGCCCTTTTTCTGTGGTTTCATGGTGGGAAAAAGTTCACTTGTCCACGATGCATATTGGTCATGTGGTCTGGAAGGACCAGGTTCAACACCAACACAGTCTGGGGACAGTAAGCCCCCCATCTGGGATCAATTACTATCACCCCAGAGAAACTTGTAGGAAGAAGTTCTGGCTGCAGCAACACAGTTGATGAGAGTTGCCTTGTAGATAAACCCATTAAAGCAATTTGTGTGTGACAGCGTGTGCCCATACACTGAGTTAAGATGCAATTCTGTTATGTCCCTAATGTGGATTTCATACAGAAGAGAAATAGCAGAAGACAGTGTGTAGACAGATGCGGAGGGAGGAAGCCACTGGAGCCCTTTTCCCCCAATTATTACAAGTTCAGGGCTCACTCAGATTTTTATCATCTAATACTGCAGCCACCATCCTCGTGTGGCTATTTACTTTTAAGTTCAAATTAACTAAACATAAGTAAATTAAGAATTCAGTTTGTTGCACCAGCTACATTTCAAGTGTCGAGTAGTCCCCTGTGACAGGTGGCCACTGTGGTAGACAGGATCTCCACTGGCTCCAGAGACTTTAGAAAACTGTGTTGGGGACTGTTGAATTGGGCACACTTAAACACATTACTGAACAAGAAGGCAAAAAAGGCCTTGACCACTTGTGCATGTCTTCTGTAGAAATGCACAGCTATTTCCTCTAAATGGCCAATTCACATGCAAATATGCAGAATAGAGGCCACTCTCAAACCTTCTTGGATGACCACATCTGTTGTGCAGAGAGATCCCCAGGGCGCACACCTGCATTACAGGCCTCTACCAAAAATAGCAGCCTAATAGTCAGGGAGGCTCATCTCAGTTATTTTCTATTTTCAATGCAGCAGTTCTTCCAATTTATCCACCTTGCTACCCTTCTTCCGTTGATTGATGCCACAGCAGAAGGCAGGGGAGATAAGCCGAGTTCAAACCAATAAGGGTTTGCAAATAGGACAGTGCTAGAAATCTTTGCTAGGACCAAATTCAGAGTCACCAAATCGTGACTTCCATGGCACCTGGTGCAAGTACCTTTTTGCTATTGTTCCGAAAGAGAAAAAAAAAAAAATACACACATGTACACGCACACGCTTCTCCCACTCAGAGCTTTCAGCTTTCTCCCTGCAGTCACCATTCGTCCCCTCCCTACCTCGTTCAGTTTAATTCGCACACCTGCATCTTCCAGTGTGCATCATGAAAGAAAAAAAAAGATAAGCAGAATGAAAGGATTGCTCCAGCAACCTGGTCCTTTGTCTCTCCTTTGTCCATCATTCTGTTTCTTGAACTCAGAGCAAGTATGACAGCTGCTTTGGTTCTGCAACTCCTCACGCAGCACATCTAATAAGCTTCCCCATCCCTCCTTGGAGAGCTTGGTGTTCGGAATACCAAGGGGTGCCTGGCTAAGACCTCTTATTTTTATTTACTTCCACATTGTTTTTCAACGGAGGCTTAAAAACAAAAAAACCTAGCTCCAAGTTATTAATGGTTATATCTGAGGATGTTGTGGATGTGTCTCCTCCAAAGGTGCTCTAAAGAACAAATTTCTATAAGGCTAAAGTAACATTTTTGAATTGCGGTGCAACTCACAGCAGATTAACTCTGAACATTCGCCAAGCCTGGAAGGAGGAAGAAATAAAATATTGAGACCCTTTACCTGTCCTCCCAGGTACCATAGGCCAAAGGCAACTCATGACTTTACTGTTAGGGACATTTGGACACAATTCTATTGAGTTGCCCCTTTATAGCGATGGTGAGAATCCTTCCCTCAAAGGATTATGGGACTGTGTATTCTAATTAGAACATGAATGGTCCTTGTGTCATCAGTGGAACCTGGATCCTGTTTGTTAATTGTGCTGAGATCATGTATCGCTGTGGTCTGTTGAGCAAGGAGCTCTATCATTTTCACAGTTTGATAATCAATGCTCCGCTGAACACAATTTCTTTTGAATATGCCCATTTGCTCGTCCTCTCTGCTTAATTGAACAATTGCAATTACTGGTACATACAACTAAATGTTAATTATTTTTTGTTTCAGATTTTTTCTCACTTAATGATTTCGTTTACGAATTAACAGATTTTATTGTATCTTCCACACCAAACAAATTCCCCATGCAAACAAGTATGATACCGAGCAGGGCTCTATCTTTAGCCAAAAAGAATTTTTAAAGAAATGTTCACCACTTGTTTTTGTGACATTTTGAATGGTAAAGACGGTCTTTTTCTATGACATTAGGAGTTAAATGACTACATAGGTAACAGACTACTCATAAGCTTTCAATCAAAGGGTTATCTGATATTTTTAATACACGTGAAAGTAAGACAGGACAGCATTCCCTTAATTTTTGTCACATTTTAAAAGGAAATAGTTAAGGATCATGACAGTAAAAGTTACATTAATGCCTGATAAATAAAGGTAAATAAAGCACGATCAATTTTGAAAATCTGGAAAGTTCAGCAAAGTATAAAAAGTGTTTAAATAATCTCCTCCCCGCCCCAATGATCACATTAATATGTAGGTACATTTCCTTCAGAAAGGGTGTCTGGGTTCTCCTCTGGGGATACGCTTTCGACCGCTAACCTTTAACCTCAGCTGGGGTTGGTCCCCACCCCTTCTTTCTGCAGTGTGTCTTGTACTTGGACTTTGATACTAAGCTTTCATTAACCTTCGCTTTAGACTGGTAGACTTGGGTAACTGCTGTTCTGGTGTGGTCTGGCCACTGGGCGTCCCTGGCTGAGCTGTGCCGAGGCCCTAATCACGTCTCTCCTTGCGTTTTAGGGTGGTTACGCTGCATACCGCTACGCCCAGCCTACCCCTGCCACTGCCGCCGCCTACAGTGACAGGTAAGGCTCTTCCTTCTCCTGCTTGACGACTACTTGGAAATTAACTCGGTTGGTGGGGAAAGAGGTTCTCGTCCAGTCTTTCTGGAAATGCATGAATGCGGGGAGGCAGCACCCACACAGCCAGGTCCCGTGGTGAAGGGGACAGAGAGAGGGCAAACACTTAAGCCCAATGCCTTCCAAACGACTTCCCCTCTCTGCAAAGACACAAAATGTTTTGTCCCTGTGTCACTGTCTTTCAGATCTCTCTGTTCCTATGACAACACACCTCATACACACACACACACACACACAACCCCTGTACAACCTTCTCGTGGTCTTTTACGTAAGACCGAGGCTTTGTCTCACTCGCAGGAAGACACACAGAGAATGAGCTGCAGATTCCCCTCCATTTCGAGCACCCTCTTTCCCTTTTTACAACTTTTGAGACTTAGTGAAGCCTTCTTTCCATTGCATTTTTAAATTCAAAGGAAAGGAAATGGGGAGTGTATCTGGTGTTCATAAAGAGACTCACTCTTTTTGGCAATACCCGAGTGCCCGATGCTACAAGCAGAAGTCAACCTGTATTTGTAACGCACACCACATGCTAAGCCTGGCAGTGTAAGGGCAGAAGTGTGTCGGAGAAAGGTGGAAGTGGGAATGGATGGGTGGGATGAGGGGTGAGGGTGCTCTGTTACCCAGCCTTAACAGATGAGTTGGTTCCTATAACAGCAAGCCCTAGTTATTTTTGTGTAGTTGCCTGAAAAAAAAAAAAAGAAAGAAAGTGTCTGTTTCCGTATGGAATGCAACTCCTTGGCTCTGTTCTCTGAGGACATAAATGTGAATGTTCAGTGCTCTGCATGCAGAAATGTCATTGAGGGTGCTTATTTTTGATAATGATCCCTTTAATTTAAAAATACGTTTCACGAATAAAACAATAATGATAACAATTTGCATGTGTGGCTGAGGCATGCTGGGTCAGACAGGTAAGCAGGCGTTGGATTGGACCTTTGAATGGGAAGTGTCAGCAAAGCCGCCGATCCCCCTCCCTGGCCTGTTGTGGTCTAGTTCCCCCCGAGTTTGCTGTGGTATGCTTTTCTCTGCAGTTCCATTTCATTTCTCACAAGGTGTGTTGTGAGCTCATGGTAGTTACAGAATTCTTCTGCAAGAAGATAAAGCAAAATAAATCCCTGAGCCCCAAAAGCTTGCACTTTGAAAACCCCTGTGCATACATTTATAACAAGTGGTTCTAGCAAGATAGAGCTGAGATCTACTGTCTGGTTATATGCAGGTATTTTTTTATTATTATTATTATTAATAAACAGCCATAATAAGTTCTCAAGGCTGTAGGGGGCCTTCAAAGAAATCTGAAACAATTGTCAAGACACAGCTCTAAATATATAAATGATCCAGTGACCCAGTCATCAGTTACCAAGATGCAGAATATGGTTCAGAGAGGCTGTTATCTTCAGTACACTTTGATACTGGATTAGGAAAATAAACAGGGTCAATAAGGGTAATAAAATGATGGCAATCTTGAAACGCTTAAGATCACTCTATAAATGAAGAGGCTTAATGTTATTAAATTCTGCACACTGACGATTCGCACAGTATCAATTGTTATGTAGTTCAGCTACAACCCTTAATTATTTTTATGAAAATATCTCTAGATGCTAAATTCTCAAACACCCACTTTGTATATAATTATAATCGTAGTAACTTTCGTCTGCTGTATAATTATGAGAGTCTTGAACGGATTTATTTCTTTGAATATTTATCTTGCTTTTCAGTATAAGTGCATCTATCCCCAAGTTGAAAAAAGGTTAATTACAAAGATATAATTTAAATTGCCTTCTTCAATAAGACTGATCTAGACACTTAAAAAAATAAACAATGTTTAATACTCTTCTTAGATATAATTACTGGAGAATCTGGCCATCTCTGCTTGCATTCATGTAAAAATTAAGTTAAAATTTTCTGCATTTCGGAGCACCATATATGCAAATATATGTATAAAATCTGTTATGTCAATATTATTGAGGTTTTTCATTGGCAACACGTCCCACTGAAAGATTGTCCTCATTTTTGGATTGGTGAATCTTTAATAACTATGCAATTCCCACTTTAGCGTAATGGTTTCAGTTGAAGAAACCAACTAACTATACTCTTGTCCACGTAATTGGCCTCTTGTTGTTCATTAGAGAAATTTGTACATTAGGTCTCCTCGGTTGCTGTGGAAATTGATTACCATCCCTATTTAACTTCATTATAAGCAAGACACTTGCTACATACAGAATTATTCATTGAGGTAAATTCCGTAATAGGTAAATTACCAGAAAACAGTCTTTAAAATGATGTTTTCAGTTTGATTTTTTTGAAGTGTCTCTATTAAATGGTGGTTCTTCCTTTCATTCGTAATAAGCAGATAAAAAGAAAGAAGACCCTTTTATAGAAGAGACACATATTTGGGGGGAAATGCAAAATTATCAGAATATCGTTTGGATCTAGAAGAAAAATTCTAAGTATCTAGAATTGATCTCAGCAATATTAATAGTATAACAAATATTTTTATACCATTGTGGCATAACATCAGTAGCCATAGATTCTTCTCTAGAAGACAGGCAGGATGACAAAGAGAAAAAATCTTAACAAAAACTTCTTCAGAATAGGATGTAAAATCAGCAGGATTTGAGAATGTTTTGTTAATACTCACTGGCTGTCAATTTGATCAAAAGAGAAACTTCAACAAACTCTCCCCGCAACAATGAGATTCACTCTTCAGACGTCTGGAAAGCAGAAGAAGCTTGATGTCCCCAGTTGTCAGAATTTTACCTTTTATCAGCACAAATTAAGCCCTCATCAAATTAAAGATTCTGAGACCTTTGCAAAATACTGAACTCCGGTAACCTCAGAGCTGTCCAGAAGGTCCTTAATGGGGACCTCGCAGCCTCCTGGCCATCATCTTCTTGGTTAAATGATCACACACTGATTATCTTGGAGCAACCAGAGAGTCTCTGAATGTTGACCTCCAGAATGATGACCATCTGGTGTGGGCAGAGATTTCCCCAAAAGAACAAGACCTGACTGGACTAGGTAATTTTAGAGTCTCATTAACAAATTGAATGGGGATAGGTGAATATCTTTTCTTGGCATTTAGGAAACATTCGGTAAGCACTTGACCTCACCAGATCGCTAATCTCACATTGATTTATGGAAAGCCAACTGTCTGAACTCTGAAAGGAGATTGTTTTCTGAGCTTGAACCAATCAAAGCATGGCGGTGGGCCCTTTGGTCATCTGGTCATTGCATGCCACTGGTGTTGCTGGTGTGTCTGTGATACGTTCTGGATTGGACAGGTCCATCACATCAGCTTGATGAATGGCTTGCTTGAATTAAGCCTGGGGGCAGGCTTTTCTTTATTGATTGGCTCTTGGTTTCTCTGTGTATTATGACTTTGGAATGGTGGTTGTTGCATCTTTTAGCGACCAAACTGGGAGGTGGGGAGGGGGGGAAGATTCCCTGTTCCATGAATTGTGCCACAAACATTTGGGAAAATATGTATGATGTGTACACAGCTTTGATGAAAATGTTATCTCACCAAAAAGACAGACATTTGTCATGCTTGTCCTGCTTGCTAACTCTCTAACATCTCCTAATGACCAATGCATGAAAACGTCCCTCCACATTAGGGCAAAAAGTAGCTAGGTGTGCACCAGCTAGAGAAGAGAGCGATATGGAGTGTTTCAGCCAGGAATGGCATCACAATATGATGGCACTGATAGTTACACAGGGCCATCGCTCCTGTCACATCAAATATGCATTTCATTTAAAGATCCCCAAATACCAAGGAGCTTTTGACATACAAGTCCAGCACCAGGCCACACAGGTGTCTCTAGATGCATCAAAAGAAACCACCAGCAGTAGAATTGTGTTTGACTTAATTTACACCTTTTTTGTGTGTTGAGACCTCAGAGGTTCATTGCCAACATAGTATTAGATTGTACCACATGAAATTGCTATTTTTGTGTGACAAAAATGGTGGAACACTTGGCTCTTCCATATAACTCAACTGAATAGAAACCCAAATAAAATGCCATAATAGTGTCTTGTACACATACAAGCATGTAAACACACACACCTCTGTCACGCCTGTGCCTTAGGGTCTCACGAAGCATTCACAAAAGTATTTAGATAAATCTCCATACGAGGAGGTTAGGGTTTATTAATTTCAAATAATCACAAGCCACGTGCTAGTATCATTTAAATCTGATATTCATAACCTATGAATAAAAGGCCCTATTCCAGAGATAGATAGATTTGTATTTCTTTAAACTTAATAGGGATGATTAAGCATATATTTGGATTGATGGAGAGTATGTTCTACTCGTTGAAAATTAGATAGGTGACAGAGGTAGATAAAGGCATACAAACACAAACATACCTACATAGGTGGGCAGATGGATGGATGGATGGATGGAGAGAGAGAGAGAGAGAGAAAAAAAGCTGGGCAGGTCAATGGGTGGGAAGACAGGAGAGAGAGAGGAAGGAAGGAAAACAGATGAACAAACTAGAACCATCTCCCTCTCTCTCACATTTAATCGTGACATGAACTACAGAACATACTAAATTCTTCTGCCCAACCTTAGCTCAGGCTGAGCTGAAAAGCAGAGGGCTCGGCTTGATTCCCATTAGTGCAGGTTACTCCCTGTCTCTGTTAGGGCCTTTTTAAAAATTTCCTAGGCACAGATTCAACAACAAGAAATGCTGTCATTAAGAGAGGCAAAAAACTACTTTTAAAATGATATAATTTATTTGGAGTCCCTGATCCCATGATAGATGCTAGAAATGAAAGGGTTGTGAGGCCATAAGCTTCCTGAGTGAGAAATGTCATTTACCTTTTAAGGGTCTTTTATTTTTGTAGAAAGGTTTGATGTTTTTTTAAATGTACTTTACAGACTTAATGATTTAGTTATGTATTTATTTTTGTCATGTGGTAGAAGGCAGGAAGGTTAACCCGTGGATAA